AGGAGCAGGCAGATGCTGTGAGAGTCCGTCTGTTTCTGGCGACGTTGCTGGGAGCAGCAGCAGAATGGTATGGTCAGGCGAATGCAGCAGCAGCCTTTGCAGCCTGGGCAGACCTCAAAACGGCATTTCTCAATGCTTTCCGTCCTATGGGATTCAAGCAGCGTATCAATGATGAGCTAAATTCAATTCAATTGTTACCTGGAGAGACATTGCAAAATTATGTTCTTCGCTACAAGAGGCTGCTCGCGAGGAAAGATCCACAGCCTGCTGTTGACGACCAAGTCCGCTGGTTCTTGAATGGGTTGCCATTTGAAATCGGGTTCCACGTGAAGGTGCAAAGACCGGCAGATTTGAACGCAGCAGTGGAGCACGCAGCAACATGGGAACAGGCCCGGATGTCATCACGGAATATTGCAGCTGCAGCTCCACCAGTAACATATGGTAACTTGTTCTCACCGAATATTGCACAGTACCAGACTGGTGTGCTTGGAGCCGTAGCAGCTCCACCTTTGATTCCGGTCCAGCCGTCAGTTCTCCAGTTACCTGCAGTAAACACGACCGGATTTGAGAGCCAACTCACGAAAGTGAAAGAAGATGTGGTGGAGACACTTACCAAGAAGATGGCGGAACTCCAAGTGAGTTTGGTTCAAGGTTTGGGAGCTCCAACTCGGCCGGGGCATGAGAGAGCTGAGATCTGGTGCATTAAGTGTCAAGGATATGGCCACTATCCTAGTGAGTGTCCGAATCTGGTTCCGGTAAAAGCTCCTTGTCCGTATTGTGGGAAGTTCGGCCACAAGCCTGAGAAGTGCTTTTTTCATCCAGCTCGTGTGACGCCCAAGTTCCAGCAGCAACTTGTAGTCACAAGCTATTATGTTCAACCACAATTTCCACAGCAGCACGTTCAACCACAATTTCACCATCAACAACAATTTCCACAGCAGCAGGTTCAGCACCAGCAGTATGAGACGTACCCGGTTTTTAACGTAGGAGCTCCAGGGGCCGTGCAGAACTCGGGGCCAATGCTGCAGCAGACTGCCGGTGGAGGGCGAGGTGGCGGCCGGATGGGAATGTTCGGAGGCAGAGGCCGAGGCCGAGGCCGAGGTCCGATAGTGTGCTACCGGTGTGGGGAACCTGGACATATCGCGCCAAACTGTCCGAATGCACAGAAGTCTGAAGAGTATCAGCCAATCTGTGGGATATGCCAGACACAGGGACTTCATCGGCAGGAGGATTGCCCCTACCGCTTGCAAGTGCCAAATCAGTGTCAAAATCAGGACAAGGGAAAAGAGGTGGTGGATACTAAAGCCATTTTCGTGAATTCTGAAGAGTTACAAGCGGACACACCTGTGTGGAATGTCAACACACGAGCACAGTTGCAGCGGAGGGACCGCGGGTTGTACATTCGAGATGAGCCGAGAACAAGGGCTGAACAGGGAATTGAGCGGACGCATACTCAGGAGGATCCAGAGATGATAGCTCGCCAAAACAGGAAGGAGCAGCGCCACAAGGAAAAAATGGGGATCGACTTAGGTCTGGAAGGAGGCGGTATTCAGGATGCGCCGATAGCCGATGGCGGAGATCTCGCAAAGAATATCACGGGGACTATTCAGTGCCCTAATGACGGCAAGGAAACGGACGCGAACCAGGTGAGTGGTGGAATGGATCCGCAAGAGGTTATGAGGAAGGTGGGCATCTCGACGCCGCAGCGGCTGGCAGAGGTATTCAAGGAACATTTTGGGGGTGAGCCGTTGAAGATGGGCCAGCGGAGATCTCGCCGGTATAAGCAGGTGCTGAATCTAGAAACTCAGCCCTACGATGTGCTCAAGGACTTAGAGAATCAGAAGCCGAGTATCACATTTGCACAATTACTACGGTTGGCACCAAGTCTGAGGAAAGTGATGGCCACAGCAGTTAAGGCCCATCGAGAGGTGGTAGTGAATGCAGCATGGCCAATGATCGAAGCAGAGAATCCGATTATAGATGCAGAGATTTCAGGTCAGCACTTGAAGGGGTGCGTGATTGACGGAGGTGCTGCCATCAACGTAATGCCTGAGCAAATGGTGTCGAAACTTGGGTTGGAGCAGCCGTCTCCAGTTTATTTTCGTGTCCGTATGGCGAACCATTCTCGCTCGAGACCGGTTGGTGTACTTACTGGGGTGAAGACGGAGATTGCCGGTTTTATCTTTTATGTTGATTACGTGGTGCTGAGGATGGTTGGACACGAGCTGGATTATCCAATTCTTTTGGGAAGACCGTGGCTGTTACAGGCCTGGGCAGATCAGAGCTGGCCGAAGGGGACTATTACGATTGGAGATGGAAACAAGTCGCGCACTATCCAAGTTCGGACAAGGAAGAGGCCGGCCTGGACTCCAGTAGCGTGTGAGCTGATAGTGGATGGGATCGATGACAGCAGTGATACCACGACTGGATCAGAAGCAGGAGAGCGTATGAGTGAGGTGTGTTCAGAGCAGAGTCGTTCGAATGATGAGAGTTCAGTGGAGGTTGCAGCTGTGGAGCCCTGCTCCGGCTACGACGCCCTGCTGCTGTCACCTTTTGAAGATGGAACAGCGAGCGATTGACTCAAGCATTGGTTGTTTGGTGGTGATGTGAGCTGTGGAATGGTTCAAGTAGAGGACTTGGAGCCAGTAGTGGAGCAGGAACGACTGCAGCAGTTTCCCTGCCATTTTTATTCTGAAGTTATAGATGGTTCCATTCCAGAGATTGATGAAGAGCCAGCGATCCAGTCTGGAGGACGAGGTAGTAGCCGATACACAGCTCAGCCAACTGTCGAAGAGATGAACCTCGGATCAGCCGAGGAGGAAAAGGTGGTGAAGGTCGGAGCTAACTTGCCGGTCCAAGTTAAGGAGAGGTTGAGGCGCCTCTTTTACAGGTACCTCGACGTGTTTGCATGGTCTTATAGAGACATGCGAGGTGTGGATGTGAAGCTGGCTCAGCACCGGATCATTCTTAAGCCAGGAGCAGTGCCTATTCGGCAGCGGCCGTATAGGATGAACCCGAATTACTCCAAGACTGTTCGAGAGGAGCTGGAGAAGTTGCTGCGAGCTGGGTTTATTTATGAGGTGGAAACGAGCCAGTGGCTGTCTCCGATTGTGGTGGTGCCAAAAAAGAATGGTCAGCTGCGAGTCTGTGTGGATTATTGGAAGCTGAACGAGGTGACTGAGAAGGATGGCTTCCCTCTGCCCTTTACCGACACGGTACTTGATGCTGTGGCGGGACACGAGCTTTATTCCTTCCTCGACGGATTCAGCGGCTATAACCAGGTGCAGATAGCAGAAGAGGATCAGCTCAAAACCACGTTTGTGACTGAGTGGGGCTGCTACGCCTACAAAGTTATGCCCTTCGGCCTGTGTAATGCACCTGCTACCTTTCAGCGGGTTGTCACAGCAGCTTTCCAGCCGTACATGCGAGAGTTTATGGAAGTATTCCTTGACGACTTCAGTGTCTATGGGAGTGAGTTGGCGCATGAAGGCCTTCTCGAGAAGTGTTTTGAACGCTGTCAGCACTATGGGATTTCTCTCAACCCGTTCAAGTGTCAGTTATGGGTAACGCATGGAGTGCTGCTGGGTCAGATAGTGTCAAGAGAAGGTTTAGCTGTTGATCCGGCCAAGACGCAGGTGATCATGCAGCTGGTGTCACCAGAGACTGTGAAGCAATTGCAGGCATTTCTTGGGCATGTGGGATATCACCGCCGTTTCGTGAGGAACTTTGCCGAGAAAGCTCTACCCTTGACTAGCCTGCTGAAGAAGGGGGCTAAATATGAGTGGACAACTGCATGTGAGGCGGCCTTCCAACGCTTGAAACTGGCACTGGTAAACGCGCCGATTTTGAAGATGCCAGATTGGAACCTAGAGTTTCACGTTCATGTGGATGCATCAGCAGTGGCCATTGGTGTGGTGCTGTGTCAACGCTCAGATGGACGAGCAAATCATCCAATATGTTACAGCAGCCGTCAACTTTCAACGGCTGAGAAGAGCTATTCAGCAATTGAGAGGGAAGGACTTGGCATGATCTATGCGATCCAGCAATATCGGCATTATCTACTCGGCAAGGAGTTCGTATTTTTCCTCGATCATCAGGCATTGAAGTATTTAATAGGGAAGCCATGCAAGACAGGAAGAATCACACGTTGGCTGTTACTACTCCAGGAATTTCAGTTCCGGATTGTGTTGAAACCTGGAAGCAGCCATCAGATGCCAGATCACTTATCGAGGCTGCCACCACAGGACAGTGATGAGGAAGTAGGCGTACAGGATGATTTGCCAGATGCACCTATCTTCCAATTTGAAACAGTGCCGGACTGGTATGCCGAGATGGTTAAGTTCCTTGGCAATGGCGAGTATCCGGCAGGGTTGAATAACCGGCAGAAGCGACGGCTTCTGTTGCAGAGCCGACTCTATACGATGGTTGGCGGTGTATTATACCGGATTGGACGAGATAGCGTACTGAGGCGGTGTTTGCTACCACATGAGACGACTAAGGTGATAGCGGCATGCCATGACTCGTCATATGGAGGCCACTTTGGAACAGAAGCGACGGTGGAGATTATTTGTAGAGCTGGATATTGGTGGCCAACATTGAGGAAGGAGGTTACGTACTATGTCAAAACCTGTGACCCTTGTCAGCGAGCAGGGAAGCCTGATAAGCGTGACTACCAGCCTCTTCATCCACTGTTGCCAGTGATGCTGTTTGAAAAATGGGGGATTGATTTTTGCGGACCGTTTCCTCCAGCTCGACGGACAGGTTATAAGTATGTACTGGTCTGCACTGATTACGTTACAAAATGGTCTGAGGTGAAGGCTCTACGGGAGGATACTGGTAAGAAGGTTGCGGACTTTATGAGCAGATAATTACACGGTTTGGAGTTCCCCTCGAACTGGTGAGTGATCGGGGTACACACTTCTTGAACGAGGCGGTGGCAGCACTGACAGAAACTTATGGAGTTTATCACTCGAAGTCTACTCCTTACTACCCGCATTGCAATGGTCAAGTGGAGCGTACAAATGGAACTCTTTGCCGGATTGTTACTAAGACCTGCTCAGCTTCTCGGACAGATTGGGATAAGTGCCTTTTGGATGCAGTCTGGGCGTATCGAGTTGCTTTAAGGTGACCACTCGGTTCTCACCTTTTCAGTTGGTTTATGGGCAGGAAGCCTTATTGCCGGTGGAGCTTGAAGTTCCAGCCTTGAGGACGGCTGTAGAGCATGCTATGGACTGGGACGGTGCCATACAGCAGAGGCTGAACGAGCTAGAACGATTGGATGAGACGAGGCTGCTGGCATTTCAAGCTAGAGAGGCATTGCAGAAGCGGAGAAAGAAATGGCATGATGATCACATTCGAGAGCGAAAGTTTGCAATAGGGGATTTGGTGCTGCTGTATGACAGCAAGTTTTGGAAGCGGCCAGGAAAACTCAAGATACGGTGGCTGGGCCCTTACGTGGTGGTGAATGTCAACGACAATGGCTCGGTGCAGGTGGCAGATTTGAGTGGAAACCTGCTGCCAACGCGGATCAATGGTTTCCGATTGAAGAAGTACCATCCACGTTCAAATGATGAAACAGCCGGAGCTGAGCGAGAGTCCAATGTGTTGGAGCCATCCGAATCAGAGTCGAGGATGACCAGAGCTGAGGCCAGCTGAGAGCTGTGGTTGTAGCTGAATGGGGAATTCCAGAATCGAATGGAGGTATGTTGGTGTTTTCATTTAAGAATAAGCGTAGAAGATGCAGGTAGAGTTAGCTGCACGTCCTTGAGAGGAGCAGCTGAAGGGGGAGATTTTATGAGTTCAGGTGTGGAGCGCCAGGAGGATTTATTTTTGGAGGCTGTAGACGTCAGTGGAGGCGAGCTCAGCAATAGTGTAGGAGAAGAGAGTTGAAAGAGGCAGAGTGTTGCCGTGTGAGAAGTCAAATGGAGCCAAGTTGAGTGGTGTCCGAGGAAAGTGTAGCAGAGTTGGGTTTGAACCAGTCAAGAAGTCAGTGGTTAATGGCAATCAGCGTGCCGAGGGCGGCGCGAGTATCAGGGTGGTATGGTATCAACCGTATATACGGTCGTATTTTCATACTTGAGGTTGCTTTTGTGAGTACTGACGTATTTCTAAGTTAGAAAAAAGGTGAAAATTGAAGAAGCTCGCTGAAGAAGCTTCCTATGAATATTTCGTCTAGAGAGAGAAAAAGTGACGGATTTCAGAAGTGAGAATTTGAAGAAGTTGTCTCTATGAAGTTGAAGATCTGATCAAGGGCAGTTCTTTGGTGGTGAAATCAAGTCGATCAGAGTTGTGGATGAAAAGTTATTAGCTGGGAAAGTTTCAGCCATTGGTTAGTGTTTAAGTTTTTGGGAGTTTGAAATTAGGGACGGCCATTCAGTTATTTTACAGTTCTTGTTTTCTCTCGGGTTCTGGAGTTCTCTTGGCTCGAAGATGGTGAGACCTCCTATAGGCCGTCGAGATCCCGTCGCCGATCGCGTCACCAATAACATGCGGATAAGGCGTGCGATCGAGGAGCTGAGAATTCAAGAGGAGCAGCAAATTCCAACTACCTGTCCAACCTGTGGTCAAGTGTGGTACCGTTACTTACGTGTGATCATAGAAGAGTTACTGCAGGCCCAGCGCACTCAATATGAGTGATTTGTAGTTACTGCTGAAATACAAGCCCTAGGGGAGTCTTTCCCGTCTTTCTTGGTTGTCGTGTATTTTTTCCCACAATGACCCCATTGAAACATTCAAATTTCCCACAATACAAACTAGCATTCCATTTATGAAAGGTGTTCAATTAGCACTTTGTCTCCTTCACGCTACCATATGCATATTTCATTTGCTTTTGCCTCGTATTCCTCTTTAGTTAGTGCATCCATCCATTCCTGACAAAGTTGTTTGAACTTGTAATAGAAGTCAAATTTGATGCATCGGCAATGTTTATTAACACTCTTTGCCCAATGAAATTCATGACTCTTCTCTCTACCTTGTAATAGTTGACTTTTATCACCTTCAAATACTTGTTATATATCCAATTAGTTAGCACTAGCAGCATCTGCTATGAAACCATAGAAGTTGGGTTTCTTCCCAGTTCGCTGTTCAACAACCTCGGACATACATGTCCAAAAGATGGTTTATGTTTGAAAATTTTGAACCTTGAATTCGGTTATACCTATAGTCAAGTTGCACTACAACCTATAGAAGGAATGATTATAATGTAAATCAGTATAAAATCCTTAAAAAATGAATAACCACTTATTTGTGATCATAAACATGAGCTCCCATAGTTGACTAGCCTGAAACTCGTTCCATGTGGTCGAAATAGATCTAAGAATTAGCCAAGTCCCTATCTCCATCCATATCCAATTGTTATACAAGGTCCACACTAGAAACAGGACTAAGGGTAAACATCTTAAAGATGAAAGGGTGTTGATTGTTCGAAGTCACTTGGCCAACAAACAAACTCCCATGAATAAACTCATAGGGACATTTTCTTTTTAGCTCCAAAATCTCATCTAATCCAGATTGAAGCTTTCCATCTCACCCTTCTCACATCCAGTTCTTTATTCTACAAAAAAAAGAGTGTTATTAGTGATAAAGTAGAGTTAAGTATTAATTATACCTGTTTAAATTTGTCATGGGTTCTATATTTCGAAATAGGTCCTTCAAGCTGTTCTCCGTGAACTCTTTTTTCCTATCAGATTGTAGCAACATGTCCACCACATAGTCCTTTAGTACAGACTATTGAACACACTTTGGAGTTGTAGCACTTTTCTTCCCAGCCTTTGTAGTAACAGCAGCCTTCAAATTGTAAAAAGAATCACAGCGGATTCCTTCCTCTATTGCATGTTGGTGGTATCCAACATGCACTGTTGATCTGCCTAAACATCCATCCCATGGAAGAAAATAATACATTTTCGCATCGCAACATACTTGACACACAGGTGTTGCCCCATATTTGCAACATCTAAACCCTATAGCAAACTTATCATGCCTAGGGGGATTGATTGCTGAGCCTTCAAAGAAACACATATTCTTGCCATGATCAGAAATGCATTTCTTAGTGACATACTAAAGCTGTCCACCAGAATTGACTATGGACACAGATCCATTGAAATGAGAGAAGTGGGTTGTCTTTACTCTGCACCAATAATGTGGATCAAGACGCATCTCCATACCCCTTTTCCTACTTGACAAATTGGTCAGTGGAAACTCGAAGAATATATTCCCATTATAGGAAGAAAGAAGCTCCTCACCTCTCATGTACTCGAACTCCTTCAATTCTAGCCATAATGATCGAGATTGCTGAAATGCCTTATCCACCACTTCAAAAACTGGTCCAGAAGGAACGCACCCTACTTGTCTGGGAAGCTATGTCGGGAACCTCATCTTCTTCATTTTCGTCACTAGAGATAATAACAACTTCATCTTTCACTCCTTGCACAATTGACTGTGAAACTGATGTGCTCTCCTCTCCTTGCTTTGAAGATCCTGTAAATAAAATCTCTTGACCAGTACATCTATCAAGATCCCATTGAATCCCATTCTCTCCCATACCACTGTCGAGAAGAATGGATTTTTCAATCTGATTACCCTTATCATGACATACATTTTCCAAACTAATTGATCCCGGTTTCAACTTGAATCTTCTGCAGAGGAAGATCTCTCCTATAACACTCTTAGAGAAAACAATTAGAGGCTCTTGATTGAACTTCAAATAGAATTCTCTCATATCTTCTCCTTGCTCAAGCACTTAGAAATAAATTGGGGAGAAACTGATAAGAAAGAACAAAGATATTCTTTTGTATTATGAGCATTAATTAGTTGTGTCCTTGCAAAGGACAAGTTAATTATTTTAACAAAATATACAACTGTTTAGAATCTAGAGAGATATGAGAATCTTAAAGAGCCACCCATATTAATTGTATAATTGATTGTGAGAGGAATAATATTGTTGAAATGTGTAGCGCACCTTATCTCTCTCCCCTTAAGCCAACTGGAAAAGGGGCAATTGCTTGATGAGAGAGCCCTTAGTGGCTATTTTATCCCCATTTATCCCCCAAGGTTCCAAGGATCCACGGTGACAGTATATCCAAATCTCATCCCATGATCACATGCGCTACACTATGAATGTGGTTATGAGCGAGAAGCACTAGTCAATCACAAAAGTTGTAGCATTGATTGTTTGTTCTCCCTCTCTGTTAGGTGCCAACTTTGACTACGTGGTCAACGTCAGTCAAAGGGAGGCTCAAGGGTATATTAAGGCATGTTAGGATAATGGACTTAACTTACCTAGGGGCTCATAGTGGAGCGGCAGGCAGTGGAGCTTTTGAGGTAGCTCGGGGGTGGTTGGGTGGTGAGGAACCTCAAGAGGTGGCATAGCATAGTCTAGGGTGACAAGATCTCTATTTTTTTTGCGCCGGATCATAACATTGGTATCAGAGAAGTTGGTTGCAATGGCTGACCAAGCTGAACACTGGAATCCTATTGTCGATGGTGGTGCCGACGAAGCTGTGGAGATTTGGACTATTCAAGATGTGGTTCATGAGCTGCGAGCCCTTAATCGAAATTAGCAAGAGATGCAAGATGAGATGCATGGCATGATGGACACCATGCGTAGGCGTGTTGAGGCACTTGAGGCTGGATGGGGTAGCGCTCCAAGTAAGCCTTCTTTGGTAGATCGATTCAAGATTCCAACTTTTCTGGTGATGGTGGTGTGGACGAGTGTCTTGCTTAGCTAGCCAATGTGAAGAAGTTCTTGGCTGCTAGAAGAACTCCAGATGCAGAGGCTTTAGTGGCTATTCCGATAGTTTTGTGTGATGTGGGTCTTCGATGGTGGAATTGGCTTGAGGAGTCCTGTGTTGCGGATAAGAAACCACCAGTGTCTATCATGGATGAGTTTGAGGTTGCTTTTTGTTTACGTTTTGCCCCTCATTATGACGTGGAGAATGCTCGTATAGAACTTCGACATTTCCAGCAAGGGAAAATGACGCTCAGGGACTATATTGAGAAGCTTACTCACTTGATTAGTTGTATTCTAATGAAGGATCCAAATCAAAACAAGTCCTATTTCATTGATGGCCTACATAGTGAGAGCATGCGGCAACATTTGCGTCATTCTCAGCCTACAAAGAGTTTGGAGGAGCTCTTTGATGCAGCTCGTCGACTTGACAATGACAAGCACAAGTCTCGCAAGCGTTCACGGAGTCTTTCTATCGAGAATTGTTATGATGATCACTGTGGACACAAGGATGGGAACAAGCATCACAAGTTGAAGTCGGTGGTGACTACTTCAGATGCAAAGGGGTCCAAGAAGCAGAAGTTCTTTGTGAAGAATTATAGACAGGGTTGTCATCATTGCGGCGAACTTAAACACTATAAGGCTGATTGTCCGGAGTTGAAGAATAAGTAACAGGACAAGAAGAATGGCCAATCTTCTTCTCACGGTAAGTCAGATACTAAAAAGTTGCAAACTTTGCAGTGTGAGGATGAGGAAAATGACCATTCCGGTCGGAGGAAGCGACTTTCGATCGTTGCTCGTCAGCCCAACTGTGTGTGGAACAAGATGGAGCTCAAGGATATGCGTGAATCAGCTTTAATGCTAGAGGGCGTGTTCCGTGGTGATCCAATGCGGATTTTACTAGATAGTGGGAGCGATGACAACTTTGTTT